GGGAAAAGGAAGCTGTTAGCCTCATGTCCAAAACCTCACTTCTTTTCAGTACTTGATTAGTAAGCTAGGTAAGATGTGGGAGTTCATCGACTAGGAGTCGAACTCGGATCAAGTATGTGATTAGGGACTCCTTTTTACATTGATCACACGTCTGTAATTCAGCTAACTATTAACTTATAGTAAACCTGAAGACAATCATACTAGCGAAGTGTGTCTGTTGTCAGCGTACTTCTCGGTGAGTAAAACTGGGAAGCTGGAATGCATGAACTGTTGGATTCTATCCCAGTGGCTGAACGATTTATGAGCTCCGCTTGTGACCTCAGTAGGGGGGGCATGGGTGCGCACTAACGAAGAGTCTCGAGGAAGGACGAAAGGGTTATTCATCAATACTGCGTGATTTTCAGTGTTTCTCCGCCTGGAGTCAGTTCCGGATCACACGTGAAATCAATCAAATCTCTAGAAAGCAACTCTTGAAAAACCCTAAGTAATTTATCATTCCATAAATTTTAACAGAGGATATAAATTTAATTGAATTTTTGGATTTTTCCGTCGATTGATTGGACCGAAGTGCTTGGTCTCAGGTTGACATGTCGGCTTCTTGAGCAGATGCTTCGACGATGTCTGAGCATTTAATTAGTATTTAATTGGTGGATGGTGCTAGCAGTGGAATCCAGGATGCGCATTTCGTCCTATCTGGGACTCGTCATCTGGATGTACCTGCATTTCTCAGTGAGTGATGATGTTCCCACCATGGGCACTGGGTTAGAGCCTCGGTGGGAACATCATCACTCACTGGGAAGTGCAGGTACATCCAGTTGACGACGAGTCCCAAACAGGACTAAATGCGCATCCTGGATTCCACTGCTAGTCACCATCCACCAATTAAAGAGGATATAAATGTCAACAAGAGGATAAAAGTGACAGAAGCTTATAAATAATACCAATCTATTTTAGTTTCTTTGAATCAGCCCTAACTGTGTGTTTGATAATAGGAAAATAAATATGAAGCTATTTTCATCGTGACTGTTAGGACAGCCACAAGATTCCGGTGATTTCAGCCTTCTACTTTGACCCTGATATTGTCTTATTTTTGTCGATGTCGTTTTCTACTCTGATATAACAATCCCTATTGTACAGTTAGACAAGTGATGAAGAGCACCTCCATCTCAAGAAAATTAGAAGAAGAAGAATAACAATCAAAGTTCACAATAGCGAAATCAGATAAAAACTCGACAGGAGATAAGAACACCTTACACCTACTCAAGTTGCTGACCAAATATCTACTGTAGCTACTAATCTGAAGAGAAAGATAATGAAATAAACCGTTTTTCTTTATCGCTTGAGTTAGTAAACAGACTGCATACTTTATTAACAGACTTCCCGATCATCAAGTGGATAAGATTCACATCTCTCTTTGTGATACCACCAGTGAGTGGCTGATTCGTAGACAAAAGTCGCTAGTATACATGCCCAAAGATGTATAACCATAGGCTTTTATTCATAGAGGGACTAAATACAGATTTCAATTCCCAATGGAATCATTTCTACCACGCTGTGTACGTCTGTCTATCGACCAAGGGGGTGTGTGTACTGGTCAGCAGTTCGTTCTGTCCTCCTTTATGGCTGTGAGCGAGACCTAGCCATTGAGAGCGGAAGACATGAAAAGACTAGCTGTCTTTGATCATAGGTGCCTTTGTGGTATCTCCTGTGTGAAGTGGTAAAATAAGGTGAGCAATATTGAGGTTAGGCTTCAGACGAGTGCTAGGTAGGTGGGAGGGGAAATCAATAGACGAGGCTGTGAAGCTACATCGACTGAGATGCTTAGAAAATGTGCTACTCATGCACCTCTAGGCATCGCTTTCGTCGACCGACAGGCAATGCTAGATGACATTGGGTCAGGTTGGAAAAGGGCCAGTTGAAGTCAAACTAAAACACGTCTTTATCAGTCAATTAAATCCATAACAGTTAGCTTAAGCTAGCCACGTAGGAAGTTGAAGACTGGCTTCCTGGTTGGGGTCCTTTGGATGGTGAAAACCAATGAAGGCTGGAGACGATTGGTGATATGGATCAAAGTCCTCGTTCTCAATAGCTGGCGCAGATGCATCCACTCCTGTGACTTATGATTTCCAATGAAACTGTTTTGTTCTTCGTTATTACTATTCCTTTGTCTCATATCCCTGTCTACTGTCTCTATTATGTATTTCTTCTACTCTCTTATCTTGCTTTGTGTGTTACATAGAGTGTGGCGACTTAAACTGCTGCACATCAGCACAAATTTCTATGTTGAAAACAGACAGACAGACAGTGTACGTCACGGAAAAGCATGCAAACTTGGTGATTTAAAGCATCTTGAAGACTAAACATATAAATTCTGTAAAAATTATGAACGATAGTCACATAGATAGGCAGATAATAAGTTCAAATTGATACACATCAAAATAGTAAACAAACAGAAAGCAAACAAAATGGAGTAATACTTAAATGAAATAATAGGAACGTAAGAAAAGGTATAACACTTCAATAAAGGAAACAATTACTTTATTGGTGGCCGCCACCAATGAAATTCATCATATGAGTTCAGTGCTATTTGTGGCTCGTCAGCTAGATGTGTCTGCATCCTACTGAATGATGCTATTTCTGTCAAGATCTAAACCGAGTGCTCATCGTTTTATGCATCAAAGTGTTACCCACTAGGCTACTGAGGAAGCAAATGCAGACATGTGATGGTCTCTTGAGCGGTTCGATTTACGGCTTTATAATCGCCAGTATATATAATTTATTTCTAACTTAGCTAATATTTACCTCTTCAAGGATAGTAAATTCACATATCTCATTCCATGATGACTCAATATCTTAATGAATACAAAAAAATTAAAGTAAGAAATAGAAGCATAACAACATACTTCCAATCATTCACAGGGTTACCGGTTATATAGATAAATTAGTAATTCCAATACAATACAAAGCACACGAAACGCTTCCGAATATTGAAACCTTTCGGAATAGAAGTCACTGACAAACCAATAATGGTCTCTTCAATTCATACTTTGTAAGCCGAAAAACCCAACCACAAGAGAAGATAAAAAAACTAGTGACTAACGACGGGATGAAATTCCCTGAAGTTCTAGTAGGAAGTCGTGACCAGTGTGGTCTACCAAGTTGGGTGTGAGGACAAATACTCGTCAATGACGTCGAATGGCAGTCACAGATAGGGGAAAGAATTCATGGAGCATTGGATTCCGTCCCACTGGCTGAATGGTCTATGAGCTCGCCTTGTAACTTGAATTTCTCGGGTTCGAACCCCAGTGGGTGCACACTGATGAGGACTCACAAACTCAGACAAAACATCTGTCTAGTACTCCCTGATTTTCCAATGATTCTCTAAATGATATCATTTCGCGGCCTAAGATGAAATCCGAGGAAACTAACACGTGAAAGAAAACCGACGTCATCTAAGGAATATTCCATTATGGGTAAATTTTATTTTGATAAAGTCTCACAGTGTTATACAGTAATATTACTGTATAACACTGTGAGACTCTATCAAAATAAAATTTACCCATAATGGAATTACACTCTACCACAGTGCCCAAGTTTTATTCTTATATCTAAGGAATATATTGTGTAGAATTCAGAAAACTCTAGCGGCGACGTACTCTTCATCTTTGTACTCATGAACACAAACTACAGATTAAAGGACATGAAATACATCCATTCTTACCAAATGACGTGAACAACCACGAAAACTAATACAACTTGAATGGTGTAAAAATCTCAGAAAGAGAAAATACAAAGAACACGCGAAATTTCCTGGGGGAACGGAACTCAAATCAACTTACAATGCATATGCATGTGAATAAAGATAAAATTTAAAAATCAATATAAAAACAACAGGTTGTACTAGCAATAGATGAATAATCAGGTCAACGAATATAAACGGGATCAAATTCGTAATTTGCAGTTTACACAATTTCAAGTGAAATCTCACTACAGTTTCCTCTGGGGATCGAAACTGTTCAGATCATATATATATATATATATATATATATATATATATATAGTGATCTGATCTGCCTGATGCCAAAAATAGCAAGCAATAAGCAGACATAAATGCATGCATAAATGCATATACTACTGATTGCTTGTTATGAGTAGTTGGATACTACCACTCACATCAAGCAGTAATGCTTACCAGCTAACCAGCTCAACAAAGTAATCTGAACACCGGGCGGTCGTCTCGCACGTTTGAGGACAAGCTTATCTGCGGCGCATTCTGTTCGGCTCAGCTCAAAGAGCTCAATCAGCTGAAGCTACCGGAATTCTGGCTGATTACTTGGGCGAAGTGATAATATACTTTGGATGACATTCGCAATTCGTAAACGATCGAAACGTCTATAGACAGGGGGTTTAGACCTTTTCGATAGTCTGGCTAGCTAGCAAGCACTGCTGGTTTGATGTGAGTCACGGTATCCAACTACTGATATCAATCACTCAGTAGTATATATAGTATCACGCATCTGAATATAAACTGTTTCACGAGAGACATAACAATGAGCCAATTCAAGTGTTGGTTTGTAGGGAGTTGGTTGATTGGTTACAGGATTTCATCATGAGCTGACATTAGTTAGAGAACCATTGGAAAACCTGCAAGGAGTACTGGACAGCTGTTTTGTCCTAGTTTGGGACTCTCCAGCAGTACGCATTCGCCGGGATTCGGACCCAGGACCTTCTGGTTACAAGGCGAGCTCGTATACCATTAAGCCACTGGGACCTGATCCAATGTCCCATAAATTCTAACTTCTGCCAATTCACGACGGTGGGTGCGTACTGCTGAAGAGTCCCAAACTAGGACGAAACAGCTGTCCAGTACTCCCAGGTTTTCCAATGGTTCTCTAACTAATGAGCCAATTACTTTTTTTTATTCGAAACTTTCAATAATGAAATAAAAGAAGTAATCACTTTTTTCTTCTCAAACACATTATTATTATTTCACAACTTACACGGATTCATCATAAAATAGAATCGACTATACTGATCCAACCAGACTAGAGCAGTTCGTACGAAATTTTTGTACAATATATTACTAACACCACCAGGCCAAGTGTACGGTGATGATTTGCGAAACACATGTCCAACACGACTGCATGGATCAATCAGCAGTTCACCGCCACATTGCCATACACGAAAAGATAATTCAATATTTTCACCACCCCATATCTCCATACCTTCATCATAAGCGCCAAGCTAAAAAAGAAAGATTATGAAAGCATACAGAGTGTTTTTATTTTTTTAGTATTCAAAGGGAATGTTGGCTACACTTTTGATTTATTGATTTTGAAGAAATGCTGCAGTCAGCATAAGGAAAAAGATTCACATTCTTAACAGACTGATTGTGCGTCGGTGGCACAGCGGTTAGGACGCTCGCCGACCATGCACATGGTCGACGCACCTCGCTACGCCAGAAATAATGCTGGTGAAGAGGAAAGGTTGGGCATGAGGCTGGCTAGCAACCCCATCCTGTAAAAATAAACACTGCTACAGAAGCTTCAAGCCACAAGCTTGAAGCCCTATGTTCCACTGGGGAACGTGAAGGAAAAAAAAAGACTGATTGGTTTCAATGTAGAGCTTTGCACAGAAGTGCTGTATCACACAAAGCGAGAGAAGAGAGGCTTAAAAGAGAGGTAATAAACAGAAGTATCAGGAAGAAAGAATAGTAATATGGAAGAATAATAGAATTTTATTGGATATGAAAAATCCCATTCTTAACACTAATGTCAAGTCGGTGTTTATCTATATGGGTCAGAGACTTGGAGTGCGTGTCACTAAAACCATTCACAACAGGCTTCAGATTTTCACCAACAGTTACCTTCGCTGACTCTGTAATGAAGATAAGATGGCCGTACGGAAAGGTTAAGGCAATAGGAAACTCTAGAAACGAACCAACTAAGATCCTCTTTGCCAACAAATATTCCGAAGGAAATGTAGTTGGATCAGACACACGCTGTGAAGGGACCTTTGAGTGACATCACGTGCCAGGCCGTTGCTTCATTGGAACTTGAATGAAAAACGATGAGTTGGGCATTTGAGGGTGGTATGGAAGAGATTGTATACAGAAGGAATGAGCATTTATGGGCAATCGTAAAGCCAGCCAAAGTACGACTGCAGAGTACAGGATGAAATAGAGAAGTGCTGTTGAAGCCCTATGTTTCACTGGGAAGCTATAGGGTATTCTTGGAAGTATCTGATAGTTAAACCCTCTGATTATGTCTCACTACTGGTATAAGTGTATTCCAAGTCATTTCTTTTAATTTTTACGAATGTATCATCGACATAACGTACCCAGATGTTTGGTTTAATTATGTGTAGGGCTATTAATTCTAATCTTTGCATAACGGCTTCAGCTTCAAGAAAAGAATTGAAACAAATTCTGAAGTTGTTGTCTAGAAGGACAACAAAGGTTTCGCAATTAAATCACAACCAGCTCAGAGAACACACACCAAATAAAAATCATCCACGTGAGCTTCAAATCTTCTCTATTAATGAAAATTCTGCCACGAGATCACAGCGAGTATCTGGTTCCATCATTATGGTGGCTGGTATCCTCCTGCCACTTAAAATTAGACCTAAGAAACGTATATTTGACTGAGATATCGATTACGTAATTGTATACGGGACTGTTTATCATCCTGGAGTATTATTTTGTCCTGAGTTGGTCATGTTTATCGGTGATAATCGTATATATTACGCTAAACGGAATCATATACGTGAATTGATATTACCTACTCTTGCAACTAAATATTACTGCTCACTAGATTCAAGACTAACAGGTCACCCTTTAGAAAGTACAGACGAATACTTACAAGGTACTTTAATAATTATGAGAAAAAGCTCTTCGGGATGAGAGGAATGTCGTTACAATGTTTATAAAACGATGGTGTTTCGATAATAATCTCAACACATAGTTTAGATAAAAACTCTGTTGCATCTGAAAACAGTCAGAAGATTTTTTTACCTCAGCACCGTTGTGATGCTGAAATTACAATTTCATCAAAAAGTGTTTAAACACAAATCAAAATACCAACAAGAAACCGTCCTCAAATATATCTCTGAAATAACGGCTAGAATATTAAGACCACGTGAAATAGATACAGCGCACAAGCCGACACAATCACTTCATCCAATACTCTGGAGTCCTAGGGATCCAACAGCAAAAGAAGATAAGATCAATACCATATACAAAATAAATTGTATAAAGTGAGATAAACACTAAACTGGTCAAGGTGAGCATCCCCTACGAATAAGAATTCAAGAAAATAATTAGCTGTGAAAGGACACAATGAGTATTCTTTCACATCAATTATTATTATTGTTCCCTTGGGTTCCTAGTGGAACATAGGGCTTCAACTGCACGCCTCCACTTGCTTCTGTCTTCTGCTGTACTTTTCACCTGCATCCATCTTAGTCCATACTGTTTCAGCTCCTCTTCACACGATCTCCTCCATGTCACCCTCATTAGACGTCCCACACGCCGCTTCCCTTTCGGGTTACACTCGAGCACTGGCCTGACGCACGATGTCACCCAGTGGCCTCCTCAGCTCAGCGAGTTTCCAATCCATCTCCACTTTCTCCTGCATATTTCTTGAACGATTGGTTCTTGTTTTGTTTCTTCCCATAGTTTCTTGTTGGTTCTTGTTCTTTCCGGCCATCTGATCTTCAGTATAGAACGAAGACAGTTGTTGATAAAGGTCTGCAACAGGCTGTTGGAAATATTCTTTGTGACCCGTCAAGTTTCTGATCCCTATAGAAGAAGAACTGACTTGACGTTTGTATTGAAAATCCGAATCACTTTGTTGTTGATGCAGGCTGAGTTGAGTGACGAAGATTTCCAGATTGGTTTCAGGTTGATGAATGTGTTTCTCGCCTTCCCGATTCTCGCTCGATTTGACATCCTCGTCCGTTCCTCCTGTAGTTGAGACAATGCTCCCTAGATAAGTGAATGAATGAAGTAACCTCTTTCAAATTGCTCCCGTTGATAGTGATTGGTGGTGGATGTTGCTGCTGTTGTTGTTGTTGTTGGATGGTTATTTTCATAACCTCCGTCTTGTCTATGTTCACCTGGAGTCCTGTCTTCACTGCCTGCTTCTTCGACCAGTTTGTCGATTTTCGCTTGTAAGTCTTCGATTTTGTGTGACATCAAACATAAATCATCCACGCGCGAAATCCAGGTCTTCTAAGTTCTTCACGTCGGTCCAGGATATCCCTGTCTTCTCGTTTCCCACTGTCTGACGCATAATCCAGTCCACCACAATTGGGAATATCATTGGTGATAATAAGCAGTCTTGTCTGACTCCTGTGTTTATTCCAAAAGCCTCGCTGAGTTTTCTGTTGTGGATCACTTGACATGTGCTGTTGTCGTACCGCTGTTGAATAAGGTTGATGAATATTTGGGGTAAGCTGTAGTACTCGAGTAGTTTCCAAATTACTTCACATCAATGCATGCAGACAATCATAGACATTAATTTGATTGGGAGAATGTAAAAATTTTAAACAGAAGAAATACCGAAAATTCCAGGTAATTTCTAGTAGCCTGGTACTCCAATTGAATCAGTAACTAATACACATACACACACACATTACTATAGACCAAACTTATTAACTCATACATAAATCACATGATAAGAAAGTTTCAAGTTAATAAAATTGATCGATTGAGATACAAAAATTAACAACCAATCACGATAATGTTTGTCAGGAGATACAATTAATTATATCACCAATCATGGCGAATTCAAATAAGTTCATTTCATACTAAAACCTGAGCTGAAGATGATGTCTCGAAGGATGACGAAAGTTTTGCAATTCAATCAAGCAGCTCAGAGAATACAACTATATTAGCATCACCATCATCTGGTTTATCTCTCTCTCTCCGTGCTCACCACCAGAACAATTCTGATTTGAATCTAGACACTAAACCAGTGCATTCAAGTGCCTAGCTAGCAATATACGATACTTATTTAATTCGCATAGTTGACGTTACCCACTTGACAGTAGATGTCATCTTTAGTTTCATACAGATTTGTAGGTAGCATATGGCGAAAAGACAACTCTCCTCTTGTTATCTATCTGCTTTTCTTTTCAATTGAACGTTTTAGTCTAACACCTTACGACAATTAGCGATGGTGAAGCAGAGATGTAGCTCATTGGTTTCAGCTAGTTCATCTCGGATTCGATTTTTACCACACGAAATCCAACCTGGGGAACTGGTTAATATCACTCTCATAACCTGATGTGGATATTATTATTGTCTCCTTTAATTCCTAGAGGAACATAGGGCTTCAGCCATGCGTCTCCATTGAGTTAGGTTCTCTGCTAGAGTCTTCACCTGGCTGGCTCCATGTCTGCCCACACGTTTTCATCTCCTCTTCACATGACCTCCTCCAAGTCACCCCACCTTAGCACTGACGACCAACTCGCCGCTTCTTTTTCGGGTTCCACTCGAGCGATGGCTTGTCTAGTGATTTCACTTGATGGTTTGTTTCCTAAGAGTATGGCCAGCCAATCCATCTCCATTTCTTCCTACCTATTTGTTTCACAATCGGTTCCTGCTGAGTTGGTTCGCTCATTGCCAGAGATCCCTCCCTGTTGCTGATCTTTTCTGGCTGGCTGGCCATCTGATCTTGAGTAGTATTGAGCGAAGACAACTGTTAATGAAGGTCTGTAGTTTGTTTGAGATGCTCTTTATGACGCTCAGTGCAAGTCTCTGATGTGGATAACTGAGTTCTAAACAGTAACAATCAGTCTATAATCTACCAGTCGAGTATAGAAACTTTGTGTCTACCGACCTACTGAAGTACTGAAGACGTCAGAGTCAATTTGTCTCGTTTTTTTCAACGTCACTTTTAAGGAATCAAAAGCACAGCACACACAATACTGTAAGCACATAATAGCTAAACCTACACACAAAAAAACAAAAAAAAAATAAATATATGTAACTCCTAATATTTTCATAACACTCACAGAAGAGATAAGCAGTCTATGCTGCTGATAAGAAATGTACACACACAAAACTGACCACATAATTGTCTACAAGAAAAATGTATTGATTTTCTAGTGATAGTTGAATCGGAGCACTATAGTAGAATATCATTCCATATCAGATAAGATTATTATTTAACGTGATAGAATAACGCGGTGAGAGTTAGGATGAAGTTTGTTGTATATTTGTGGGGTGCTTTCAGTTGCCA